ATTTATTTATTTATTTTTTATTTTTTGACAGGCAGAGTGGACAGTGAGAGAGAGAGAGACAGAGAGAAAGGTCTTCCTTTGCCTTTGGTTCACCCTCCAATGGCCGCCACGGCCAGCGCGCTGCAGCTGGCACACTGTGCTGATCCGATGGCAGGAGCCAGGTACTTCTCCTGGTCTCCCATGTGGTGCAGGGCCCAAGCACTTGGGCCATCCTCCACTGCACTCCCTGGCCACAGCAGAGAGCTGGCCTGGAAGAGGGGCAACCGGGACAGAATCCGGCGCCCCGACCGGGACTAGAACCTGGTGTGCTGGAGCCGCAAGGCGGAGGATTAGCCTAGTGAGCCACGGTGCTGGCCTAAATAGATTCTTAACCCATTTATAGGATCACCAATAATGGGCAATGGGATGACAGAGACGGCATTGGCCTGAATGTCAGGAGAGGGCTGGCTTCCAGTGCTCTCTCTATACCTAAGCAGAGATGCAGACAACTCCATTTGCCTTTCTAGATCTCAAAGTTCCTGCTTGCTAAATTGGGTATGGGAGAGGTGGAAGGCAGCATGAGCACGAATACTAGCTAATTAAAATGACAAATTTGATTTATACTTTATAAAGCACTTGCACATATTTTATCTCAAAGAAACTCTAGGATATGGGAAGAACAGATTATTATTTTACAAATAAGGAAATTGAGCTCAGACAGATTCAAGATCACAAGGCTGCCTTGCGGAATTCAGCCACCTGCAAACATGGGCCCTTTAAAGGCACCTTTGCTTGTAAGTGGCTGTGACTCTGTTTCAGCAGCATCACGTCAAGTGTCTAAGAATTCTAGCTGTTAGATTACTGGGTAATGCCAAGCTGTAGAATGTCAAATGTGCCACAACTCACTTGTTCTTCCGTCCCGGTTCCCTTTGAATTGCATTCGTTATCTGCCTGACCCAGGGATTCTCAAAGTGTGGTCTGGAACCAGCTGCAGCAGCTGTGGACTTCCTAATGCACATTTTCTAACTCTACCCCAGTCGACAGACTGAGAAACCTCCAAGTCAGGGCCCAGCCACTGGCGTCCCAGCAAGACCTGGAGGCAGCTAACACTGGAAAACTATTGCTCTTACCTAACAGACACGTTTTCCTGATAACTGCCTCACATTCGGCATTTTCCCACCTTATTGCACTGAAGGATACACAGGTGCAACCTTGAGTTCTGTAACCAGCAACATCCAGGATGTATGCTAAACTCATTTTTGCAGTGCTTGAAGCTGTAACTGTATCCTGCATATAATCATAGTATTCTGTAATTTTGTGTTAGTCTTTGTTATTGCATTTAAGCCTACTTGGAATTTGAAGTATTTTAGGAAAAAAACCAAACCCAGCATATCATAAGCCTTGAGTTGACTCTCGTTAAAAATAGCAATTTAAAATAGAACAAGTTTATTATTTATTCAAAGTGTTAATGTTTTTAATCCCTTACTTAAGGTACTTGACTATTCCAATGTTCTGACCCTGAAATGCCAGTAACTTCAGAGGGAAACTCACATATCCACGAAACCTAGTCCTAAACAGATCTTCACTTCCTCCAAAGAGGGAAGAATATTCTCATAAATAACAGAAATGATCCAAATGTGTATTTAAAAATTTGTCTCTCAATATTTGTCCTAGAAAGCCAAAGTATTCATTAATTACACTTGACATTTTTTTTTTATGTCAAGTGCCTGGGTTTTAGAGGCATTAAGTTTTTAATCCAATACTTTGCCTTTAATTTCCTATGTTTGAAGTTTTAAAAATCCTGGGGATTTTTGGTGAAAAATGTAGACTTTTGTTCCAATGTGATCCATTTGCACTTAAATGACTATACATGTACATATATAAATGTGTGATTTTATATAAATATATGGTATTTATAATTGGAAAATCCAAAATCTGAAACTTTCTGAGCACCAACATGAGAAGTGAAAATTTGCATACCCAGCCTCATGTGACAGACTGCATTCAAGATGCAAGTGCACTAAAAATATTGTATAAAATTATCTTCAAGCTAATGTGTATGAAATATAAATGAATTTAGTGTTTAGAGTTCATTGTCCAAGATATTTCACTATGTGTATGCAAATGTTCCAAAACTTGAAAAAATCCAAAGTCTGAAACATTGCTAGTTGCAAGTATTTCAGATAGGGAATACTCAACCTGTATATATATTTATATGGCACCTACTATTTTAAGAATCAATGCTAATTTAAGAATTCTCTGGGATATTTTAATATACCACTCAGATAAATTTTGAAAAACAAAATTTCAGAAATATAGAAGCACAATACTACTGCCATTAAAGAAGGAAGGAGGGGAGATGGAGGGAGGGAGGGAGGGTGAGAGGGAAGTGTGGTTTTTATTTTAAGAATTTTATCTATGAAATACATGAAGTCTATTCTCTTTATATTAATAAAATTAAAAAAAAGAATAAAACGTCACACATTTCCAAACTTCATGTAGTTTTCATGTAGAAATAACACAGAAATCAGATATTATCCCATTAAATGGGGCAGCCAGGAAGAACAAAATCTACAAACTTGGCGCTACTGTTGCTCTTAATGTGCGTATATAAGCAGGATGGCGGGCTTTCTGTGGAAGTAGAAGTACAAGACTTGATAGTCACATGACTGATAAACGGGCATGTAGCCTGCTTTTATAGAGGGACAGTTTCTGAATGACAAATTTAATGAGACTCAACAGATTCTTGCCAATCACATCATTCCAATTATTTTATTTATCTTCTTCAGATTTTCTTTTGGCATTGCTCACTAAAAGAGCTGTTTGCTATTATATGCAGATCGACTAACAGATTTCTACCATGTTTCTGAAAAGATATAGGGAGAATAAACTGAACATATAGATTCTTGAAAGAATAGCAAGGAAGCTTCCTAAAGACCATGTTTTATAAAGACTACAGCGTTTTCCCAAATATTTGACTCTTCTTGAAGTATCAATACTTTGTTTCAACTAGGATTTGCTCACATCAACACCAAATAAACCTGTCGAAACAGGAAGGGCTCTGTAAGGAAAACAGTAAACACAAAAACCAACTTGTCTTCATAATTACTCATCACTTGAAACAAAAAGTTTTGGCATGGATGACTCAGCAAAGCTGGGTCACTGTGACAGGGTAGCAATTTGGGCAATGGGAGTGGAAGCAACGTGCAGCTACAGAGGAAACCATGACTGTAAGAAAACTGAACCCACCTTCATTTGGTAGGCGTAATGAAAGCGCTATGCATGATGTTTCCTGAAGATGCAGGACAGTTGGTTTACTTTTTTTTTTTTCAAGATTCCTTAGCAGTTAATAAAATTCACTTAGTCACAACAATATAAATTTTGGGGAAAGTATGAGAAAAAAAGAACAATAACTTCCTTGGGCTGCCTACCCTGAAGATCTCAATAGACAATTTTACACACCTCTGAACACCAGCATGTACTTAAAACACAAACATTGAATAAAAAAAGTAATAAAATAAAAACTTTGTGATAAGAAGATAGTAAGGACGAATAAAGAGTAAAAAAAATTATGTTACATGATTAAGGAGGAAATAAAGAAATAACGCATTTTTCACCTTAATAGAGAAATGTGTTCAGATGTGTGTTCCTATAATATACTCAATTATATATAAGTAGTTTATTTCACCAGGTGGGAACAGTCCTGTAATCAGAATACCAGTTGATAGGTAGGGTTAATGTGAGACATGGATTGCATGTCCTAGGAAACCTGGCACTATTAAAGTGGTAATTAACAGTCCAGCAGAGCACTTGGGATCCAGCCCCACTTACCTTTTTAACTAAACTGAAAATTTGGCTCTAAGTTGCAGAAATAGGGGGGCAAATCCATATACCCCCACCCTGTTTTACTCAGAAGCATAAGAGTGATTAGGAGACAAGAAATACTCAGAGGCAGTGTGTGTGAACCCCAAAAGATCAATATATTCTGCCCTTCCACAGAGGTGTTGTGTTTGGCAGTTTGTACAGAAGATCCCTTCAGTTATCTCAGTTATTCCAGGCCTAAAAAGCAAGTCTCTCAGTCAGTTATTTCTGGTTGCTGCCTTCTGATGGCCATTTCCTTTCTGTCAGAAATGGACACAATGCAATCACTATGATGCAAAACAAACTGCCTGATTAGGGGATTGTCCAAATTTAGGCTGCCTTTCTGTAAATGAGCGCCTGCTTTTTTTTCTACTCTCTTTTATTTATCTACACCTGAGTTTACATCACTCTCAGATTCAGTGCCACTTATACACTAAATAAATGTGCAGTTATTTTGTCTTCTTCACAATTAACAAGGATGTTAAGGGCTAATGCCATTTCAATGGTGTAGTCTGGACACCTTCCATTACCTGGAATGTCATTGTTTATGGTCTATTAAGCAGGTTTCATTTTACCTTATGGGCCCATATAACATCCAAGCTAGTGGCTTCTCAAATTACGGGCAGTATTACAGACTATTACATAGCCTTTCTGTTTTGTTTACAAAATGGCAATACGAGAAATGAAATTGGGCAATATGTATGTTTTAAAGTTGACAATTTTTCAATCTTTTACATCCTTCCATCTAAATCACACTCATATAGTTTCACATGATGCATTAATTTTAGTGTTTCTCATTTTCAAAATAATATACTATCTTATTCTTTAAATCTTTATTTCAATCAAATTATCATTGCTGTTTTGACCGATTTTATCAAGCTGAGCTTCCAATTTTTCCAGAAACTCTCTTATCCTGTTCCAGCATTATTTATAACATTCTTACATACAGAACATATATGTTGGCATCATGCAGAAGTCAGTGGATCACAGGCATCATCATACGTGGAGGCTTAACTGCTCTTAAAAAAATCTGTCTTGTTGTACAGGCTCAGTTAGCCAGGCCAGGACAGTTGCCAGGGAAAGGCTGAACACCCCTGAGGGCTTCGGTTGTCAAAACTGTACAGTGCAATAACAGAAAATGTATGTAAGTGTTCACTTACCTGTTTTTGATCAACAATTATTTCGAGGTCTTCATCACTGCTTAGCTTTCCATATCCTTGTTCTTTACTTTTCTTGTGAAAGAATAATTTTAAATGATCATTTAGTTTCTTTTCGTTAAACATAGCCTTAATTCCCACTTAATGCCTTTTAAAGATACCATTATTTACTTAACCTTGTTCATGAGTCATGATGCATCAGTCTTTACGTCAGTCTCTCATGTACACCAGTCAAATGCTTTTATTGTTAAACTGCTGGCTTATAATTTTCATTAAGTCTTTCTACTTAGTCTCTCCCATTTGAATTATGCCTTTAATTCTTTTTTCCATATTCTTATGTTTCTTTTTTATTCTGAAGTTTCAGAAAAGATTTTTAATACTTTGATATAAATAAGCAATTCCTTGAAAAGTCCTAGCACATTTTTCTCAAAGACTGAAACTTCATTTGGTATTATGCTATGCTTACATTTCCAGCTATTAAATGTTTTATTTCAGTGCCTTGCTATATATTTTAAGACAGAATTATTACACAACAAATCTTCAAATTTTCAACATTTGTTTAGAAGCCAGATGAATACAAATGTTGGAAAACAGAACCTAGAAATAATTTTAAAAAGATAAGTAATTTTAAAATTAGACAGTTGGAGAAGTTGGAAGAGTACAGAACATCTTTGCAAACGGACTTGCTGCCATTTTGTCATATTTGTCCCTATAACCATTCTCCATCTATGTCTCCCATAGCAAAATCTATAAGATCCAACGTTAGATAAGGACACAGATCATGATAATCATTTTTGAGCTGTGCTACAGGAGAAATATAACATATCTTTTTTTTTTTTTACCTCCCAATGCAATGGCTGATGGGAATACTAGTAATGTCAGATTGCTTCTTCATATCACTATCAAAGGGAAAATAAAATTTCCTATATATTTTAGTCCAAAATAACTTATTTTAAAAGTCCTTGTTTTAGATATTAGCTACATCAACTAGAGTTAAGATAGTTCAAATTATTTCTTATGCTTGTATCTACAGTCTCATATTAGTATCCCCATCTTAGTGGGGGAAGAAATACATCCTTCAGTGAACATGAGATAAATTGTCTTTTCCCTTATCTGTTATTCCCCTTATAACATTTTAAAGCTGGATATACATATTTCCTCCCCAACAAACAGACTTCTTGTTTTTATGCTTTTAACTGTATTAAAGAGATTTCTGAATCTGTATTAGGATGCATAAGTAAAATCCAAGTTCTCATTCATACATTAATGAACTTAGCCACTCAGAAGAGAACAGATGGCCACAGCATTTTTCTCTCTACTATTATTCTTGTCCTCATTTGAGATTCCATTTCAGGATTGATAGAAAACAAAAAGAACAAGGTTGGCTTCAATCAAGCTGACTTCCTTCCCATCACTTTGCTTTTGTATCCTTTTAGTCCATTGGTTGCCATAAGATATTTTCCACAGACCCTCTAATGCAGCACATTTAGAAATACCTTTCCAAATATTGATCTGTATACGTACCAAGTAGCTCATTTGCATGACTCGATTTCTGGACAAAAGGACATTAAGCAGAGATGGAATGTGAGTCCTTCCATCCATTTCACTGTCAGACATCCCAGAATTCTTTGCACCGGCGGCAGTGGCTTTATTGCCAGAACTTGCTGACCAGATAACCACAGATCTTGCCCAGCAACAGTATTAATAATGTACAACAATAATTGAAGTATTCCTGAATCATTGTTTTGACTTTGTAAACACTCTGAAATTTTTTTGGCTGCCACAGAAAGTACTGAAGTGAAAATTTCTTTTTCTAATTTTTGTCTATGCCCTTTCAGTCTTCCTAAATTCTGTACCTATATAATATTTAAAAAAAATCTATTACTAATTATATAACTTTTGTATTTAACCCCATGCATATGTGCTACTCAGTCTTCTTGTCATAAAAGCTCTGATTTTTCTCTTTTTAATCCCCCACTTCAGACTTCCTTGAACATCATTACTAATAGATATGTCAGCACTCACAGAACATAATTTAATATTACAATATCTGCCAATGCCCAAATCAGTGACTCCAATTTAAGTGCAACTCCTGATCCAGTTCAGCTGTGAATTTTCTGGGTAAGGGGTTAGGTCAGGGAAGGAGACTTTTGTTCCCAACTATTCTAAACAGAAGTTGGCATTTTCCAAGACTGGGAGAACTATTTAGAGCTCTTGTTTTGTACTCGAAGCCCCTCGTCTCCAAGTAGCACAGACAGACACAGAGCAAGAAGCCTTACAGTTTTCCTCTAGAATCAAGCAATATTTCCCAGTTCACCCCATAACCCCGGGGGGATTAATCCTTTTCTAAGTCATAATGGCATTCACTCACTTACTGCTTATTTCTAGTGCGGGCATAATCCTCTTTCAAGCACTCAGCTTCCCACTTGGACTGCTTAGCTCAGCCAACCCAGGCAGGAATCTTCAGCTCTCCTCCCTCCTCCCAGCCGGGAAGCCCTGTCTTCTATCTATGCACTTTTCTCAAGCACAAAAAAGCAAGTCCATAGCTTCTGCGTGGTTTTCCTATTAGCCAAAGGACCGAACTAGAAGGAGAAAGCAAGCCAGTCTTTTCACTGTCCAAGTGTGAGGGGGCAGGGCTTCTGTGGGAGGAGAAGCCAGAGGGTAACCACTTCCTGTGCTCCTCCCACCTCGGCTGGCCAGACACTGGAGCTGAGGATTTGAACTGAGGCAACGAGATTAGGCCCCTCTCCACCCCAGCCCTAGCGTGCTGGTGCTTATGGGCGATTCTGTGTACTGTACACCTGTGTGCAACAGAGGAGGGAGTATTAGTGCAATGGGGTTAAACTGGTGAGGGCTTTAAGGTGGGAGAAATGAGGGAAGACAGAATGGAAGTAGTTACCATTTACTAACAGTATCTCTCTCTTTGGAAGAAGCTTTTGTCTCTGGGTATTGTGTCCTATCTCTGAAACTCTAAACGCAGCATCTTCTATCCTCCTGCACCATTCTGAATCCTTTCTGACCAACCTGAGAGAGAACTATCTAGTTCTTTGTTAGTGCTGATAATTTTTTTAAATTATAACTCTGAAATGCTGGAGTAAGTCTGAAGTTTCCTTAAAAGCATTGAGCCTTGGCAGTAATGTTTCCTCACTGAAGACTTGACCATCTCTCCTTAACCCTATCTTCTTCCTGTCTTCTTCCCTTTCATTCTGTCCTCCATAGAAGTAGAACAGAAAGGTGAGTTTATTCGCTTGAATTAAGCCATGACACTTTAAAGTTGTATAGGAAAACAGTATATGGCTATAGAGCCACAGATATAAAATGCATTATTGGAGAGTTTTGCAAGTAAGAAAAAACAATGACAAAAATCTGATGGGATAGATATCTGAAAAATGAAGCAACTTAAGTTCATTTCAGAATCTTAGTTTATTAAGATAGTTCTATTGAATTCAACTAAAAGATTTCTTCACACTCATTAGTAATGGAATTTATAAAGGGAGTATTGAAATGAAAAGGAAGACTTGATTTATTTAATTGTACAAATTAGCACCAATTGCAATTTTTGCCTAACTAAAGATGTCAAAATAAATGTAAAGGTTAACTATTGCATATAAATATTGCTAGTGATTTTTAATGATTTATTCAATGCTTCCATGAATGATACATTGTAGACATGAATATATTAAAGCAAATGTCACATACGGAATATATAATTTAGCTTCTGGAAGAAGCTACTGTCTTCACAGTTGTCAGAATTCAATTGCTATCTTCTTATTTTTCCTATCTTAAATCTTAAATCTCTTCTCCATTATGCAGCTTTCCAGAGCTTGCAAAATTTCCCTGGTTTTCCTGACATAAAGGTGACTTATTCATTTCGTTTCCTCAATGACTTTGTTAGGTAGGAAGTCAGATATGAGCTTATGTGTGTGTAACAGGCCTAAAGAGAAGACGTCTATGTCCAGCATATGCATCTGCATCTCAAAGTCATCCTGATAATGTTTCAGGGGCAGCCTGGTATTCGCATCCTGCCCTGCTCCCTTCTACCTGATAACCTGCCAGGTGGGGGTCCCCACCCCTTCTGCCTGACAAATCTTCCACAAACTCCCAGATGGAGCCCAGTATCTGCATTTCAAACACCCTGCTCTGGATCTGGATTCTCTAGGGGGTCCTGCTCACCCTTCCTCTAAACCCAGGATGGCACCAGCTAGGCTTCCTCCTGTCTGATACCTTCAAGGGAAAACTCAGATAGGAGCTTCTTAATATTTACATCCATAAAATCCTTTGTTTCAGAAGGAGATGTGTGAAGACAGAGACCCATCTCCTTAAAAACCCCTGGCCTAAATGTAGACTGGGCACTCTCCCTCAGGTCCTGTGTGGAGAGGTGCCCATCCATTCTTACGGATGTCCCTACCCTAATAAACTTTGCTACTTTTTACTTTCCACTACTCTGTTTCACGCCTGAATTCTTTCTTGTGCGAAGACAAGAACCCTGCCATTCACCAGTAACAACTTCAATCCCTCTGTTACCTCTTCATTGTTAAACTTGAAAGAAAGGATCTACAGTCATAGGCAACAGTTTCTTATTTTTTTTCTTCCCTTCTAAACCACTCACAATCGAATTGCTTTCCTAATAGTCACCAATGAATTCTCACTTACCAAATTCTCTAGCAATCCTTTCCTAGAAGGAATTAAATACAGTAGCAATAAGGAGAATTGAGAAGGAAGATAATTTGCTGAGCAGATACTTTTTGAGTGTGGAAAGTTCATCCAAGCGTAAAGATGAGTCAGCCATTTGGATATATGGATTTATAAGAAAAAATGCAAAGATGGGGCATATAGATTGCTGGGATAATTAAAATTGCAGGAGTGGATGAGCTCATGAAAGAAGAAAAGTAGAGATAGAAGAGGTGAAAGGTAGGGTTAGATTCCTGGAGAATGTTTAGATTTGAAGAAACATATAAAAGAACTCAGTCAAGGAAGATGGTAGGAGTGAGTGCCAGAGCAGGAGGAGAACCAATGGAAGCAGCCAAAGGAGAGAGAGTTTCAGACAGGGTCAGAGACTGATGAGAGGCTAAACAGTAACGTGAACAGCAAACTTTCATTGTATGGGTTATTGTGGAAATCATCATTGATGACGTTAGGAGCAGAGGTGTGAAGTTGGGAGTCAGAGTAAATCATGAAATTCACTGGTGGTTAGGAGTGAATATAGTGAGAAAAGACTAACTTTCCTTAGGAAACCTGGAATGAAAAGGGAAACAAAACAATTCAGGGCAATACAATAGGAACATGGTAGTTTGTTCCCTCTTGCCCTTATGTAAAAGTATCGAGTAGGTTTATAGTTCAAGAAGGCACTCATAAAAGAAAAACCAAAAACAAGGGAAGTGAAAATGGAGATACCAGAGAGTGAAGGAGGATAATTCATGAATGAAGAAAGTAAGACCAAAGGCCCTTTGGAAAAAAAGTGTGCTTCTCTTTTAAGATTTGAAATTATGTGCTATATATTCATAGCAAAACATCTGCAAGAATACATATCAAATACTAAAGGCTTTTTTTCCCCTGGCAGAGGGAATTATGCATGATCTATGCTTTTCTCTTTATACTTAGCAGTACTTCTTGAAATAAAAATGAATTTCTTTTATAATTAAAAACAAAGTAAATAAAGTGTGATTGCTTTAGAGAGCTACAAAATTGCCACTAAAATGACTCATTGGAAGACTACTTTGCAGGAAAAGGACTGGGTCAGGGCTTTATTCCTTTATTATGATTCTGGGAATAAACTTGTATTTCTTTAAAAAGTAGAGATTCAAGCTACAGCTATTACTTATGTCCCTTGTGGGAAGAGAGGTCGGGTAGTGGAATGAATGTATCGTTTACTTCATTTAATATGCCCCTTTTAATATTAACCTTCTCAGTTGTTTGACAACATTTTGGTCCCGTAGCTCTTCTTTTCTTAAAAATCCACTATGTCAGCACAGCCACAGACACCACTGCGGTGGAAGCCAAAGAGGCAATGAGAAGAGAAAGCAGGAACTAAAGGAGAAAGACAAGTGTCTCCCAAATGGCCTGGAAGGGCACCTTGCGTGTTTCCCTCTTTTTAGGACAGAACTCTGAACAGACCTTTTAAATAGAGAGTAATTGTCTTACCGTTAAAAGGGCAATTTGCAAGTGTTCCATTCTATTTCTCTTATGTACAGGGGAAATCAGCTTCCGGAAGGGACAATGTTGTCGTTAACAAAAATTCTCTTCTGACTTTAGCTTCACTGATACTACACTTGATCTTAGCCAAAAGGCCGAGAAACGACAGCTTAACTGAAAAATGAACAACAGCCCTTGTATGAGCTCAGGCGCATGCAGCATCTGCCAAAGGCCTGCCTTTCCTTCTCACCGGTGCCCACTGACCTTAGTGGGAATTCCCTGATCTTGCTTTCTATGAGGATAAATGGTGAATATCTTTTACTATTAAACAAGGACTACCATGATTTGAAATGGTGATTTTACTCCTTATCCTGAAAAATAATCTATCTTTCCATAATTTTCCAGTTTCAAAATAAACACTAGAGATTATTTTTATAGTATATAAGTAATACATATTACATACTTAATAAGTGTCCATATCATATATTAAGTATATTGTATACATTTGACAATTTTCAAAATTTCCAACTGTTCATCAAAAAAATAACAATATATTTGCAATAATTGTAACTCAAAGGTTTTGTTACTAAAGTCTTGTGTTGTTTTTCATGAGTGGGTGTTCTGGTTAGAGTAGATGAAGGATACTGTCATAAGACCAGTTATGTCATGGGAAGAGTTGCCACAATTCTATTTTCTTCTAAGAAAATACCAGCTTAAAACTTGGAGTTCTCTACTCTGTTGTCAAAAGTAACCCTGAACAAGTGACCTTCCCAAAATTCAAAATACATCTAACAGTATCTGTCATTACTTACTCTCTAATTAATAAAAAAAGCATACATTAAGTCTTCATGACCACAAAAGCAAAAATAAAAAATGATACCTTCAGGAAAAATCATTTGTAGAAGGACTTGATAATATCATCTGATATTTTTGAGAACTTTTTAAAAAGACATTCACAGGATTTCCTCCCCTTTTAGCCATGATTATGTTACAGTAAAACAGTAGCCAGAGGGTTCCCTTTTGTAGTTTTGAGTCAAGCATGAGCAAACAATACATGTTTGATACACACTCAGTTTGAAAGTTATATTATTGGGTGAGAAAAGAAATTGAAAGACAAAAAAATGTCTTGTGTTATTTTAACTACATGAAATGTCATATGCATGAACCATGATATTTAGGAATTTTTTTACTTTAAGGTTAAACCTAATTAAGAAAATAGATAACCCAGTTACTTCCTAGTTTGGTAAGAAATGGCAAGGATGCACAGTATAATTTTAGTCTGGCAGTCCCTCCTCATGCTGATGTTTCTATCTTTGGAGTGACTCTTGGTCTGTAAGATAATAACCCGAAGAGTTTACAAGGTTTCTTAAAAATATTTTCTATTTTCCAAACTTTCTAAAAATAAGAATTCCCCAACATCAAAATCCATTACGATTAGTTAATAACATGTCATTGTGCAACAACATTTTCTTATGCACACAAATACAATTTTAGTTATGAAACTTCTTACGTATCTTTTCTAGAATTTTATCACAAAACTCTTTTTGAAAAAAATCACAAAGGTAAGAGAATTTTACAGTAAGCCCCTGTATATCTACTACCTAGATTCTACCACTAAAATGTTATTATGCTTGCTTTTTTTCTTACCTATTTAAAGTTTATTTAATTGACAGTCAAAGTGACAGAGAGGGAGGGAGAGACAGATTCCCAGACAGATTCCATCTGCTGGGTCATTCCCCAGATGGCCATAATGGTCGGGGCTGGTCTGAGCCAAATCCTGGAGCTTGGAACTCCATCTAAGTCTCCCATGTGGGTGGCCAGGACCTAGGTACTTGGGCTATTTTCTGCAGCTTTCCCATGTGCT